TTTTAAGAATAGAGCAGGATAAGAGAAGCTTATTAAAGACAATAGAGACACTATTTTGTATACACTGAAATCTAAACAGCTAGATTTTAGATAACAATTAAAGTAGTTCTACGAAAGATTAGCTAACTTCCACATATACGTAGCGTGGTGTAAGGTAGATAATGCAGAGCATCCTCTGTGACGCAATACTATAGATCCTAGATACCACACTTAAATAGAGTACTGTATAAAACAGTATAAATAATACTTTAGGTTAGTTGGCAGGATCCGAGAACTGCCTGACTGTCACGCTGTGTAACGCTGGTTTGAAATTGTCGATAAGTTACACTGCATTGATTACTTAATTGATTTGACTTATTGTTATTTCTTTTTTAGCCGCACATTGATAATGAAACTATATTACATTGGTAACGTTACTAAATCGCGTATATTCGTTTTTAAACTTCAAGTGTTTTTGAATACGATGTTCAGTTTTTTGGGTGAGAATACATTTTTTCTTTTTTTTATGATACCAAATGACAGAACGAACACGTCGTGCGCGTGGTGGTAAGCGACACGCCTGTCCATAACAGTTGCAGTGTCACTCAGAAATTTAATCGCAAAAATCTGACATAACTTGACATGTCGCGTGTGCCTGTAATTTTACCAGCACCCTTACCCTTCAAATTGGAACCCAGTAATGCTGCCCTGAATGAATTCTTTAACCAGGAGTTCTTTGAACAAGCTACTCAGATCAGGACAATATAACGATACGTTTTTTTAACAACCGACGAATGCAACTTTTCAAGACAAGCAGTACGGCGTATGCCATCGATACGATGAAAATATTCTGGTGAAATTTTGAATTTTTAGGCTAGGCCGTGACCATGGGTCAAGCAAAGATCCCGAAACGCCGAGTTGTTTGAAAAAACAATGAAACTAACACGTGAGATTTTTTCTTTAGAACAATCAGCAAGTCATACGTTTAATTCATCAATTTTAGATTACACAACACAAATGGACTAGAGTTAACTTGCTGTCTCCATTAAAGATTACAACATCATGCAAAAGTCAATCATAATGACTTACACATTTACATATTGAATTACATACTATTTGTTAATACGAAAGTACGCTTACTTTATATTAAATACAGATTATGAATTACTAGACAGGTTTCATCATCATTATCATCAGCTTATACTCATCCACTTGTGATGGTGTGACCTTATATCGTCATCACACCGTTACACCCTCTGGTTCCTGGCCACTTGTTTTCAAATTTTGAATCGTTCTTTAATTCCTTTGTCTCCCCATTCTTATTTTATTTCGTTTCGTCGTCACTCATTGCTCTATCGCTGTAGCGAGCAGTTCGGCTTTAATTTTTAATTGCGTGTAATTTTGATTCTTTAACCAGTTCTCAACCTAAATCATATGCCAATTTTAACGTTAATACCAATCTGTAATTCTGTATTTTCTTTCGGGCCTTTCTTTACCTTTTAACTATGGAATAAATGTTTGTGGACGAAGTATCATATTTTATTGCCGTGATCCTGGTCACGGCACATTAGTGGTTTACTACCTTTTCACACTGCTCCCTTGCCCTGAGCACGTGAACTTTCCCTGATCTGTGCCGCATGTTCATCTTGTCGCTGGGAGTCCTAAACTACGTTTGCCTTGGATCACTCTAGAACAAGTGTGCTCCATCCTGCAAACATGTTCGGCCCATACTGGTTCGCACTTACTGATTTTGTGAAAGAAAAATGGATATCACAGACATATTCTTCGATAGAAGTAGCTGTTAGTTCTTTTTAGCAAAGTCTTTCTTCAATACAGCAAACTAAAGGCTCCTTGGCTAGACGTCTGTATGAACCCTCAGGGACCGAAGATTCCTCGCAAAAGTTATACGGTGTAATCGGTTACCGGAAAATGCGCGAAACCGGATTCATTCCCTAGTTTGCCAGGTTTAAAGGTGGAATATTTCCTTCAAATTTAAATGGGACCAATACTCTTAGTACCTTCTTTCCAACAAAAATAGAATCATCAAAATCGGTTCATAAAAACCATCGGTACAAAAAATAATAATAATGCAGTCGAATTGAGAACCTCCTCCTTTTTTCGAAATCGGATAAAAATCTATAATATCAGTCAAGAACTGATTATAATAATGAAAAATATTACATACAAAAAATACTTCATATATGTATCTAGAGGACCTTCAACTACCCACACACATTTGGCATGGCTTTCCATTTATTAGGACCCCATTGTAAAGTAATTTCTTTATCGCATGATCATTAAAATTCTATACATATCTGTTGATACACCATAAAAACAATCGTCCATCATTTGTATACAAACGAGATAGCTTTTTTGGTAAGACATTTTATGCCAGAGGTTACTAACATCGAATTTGTCCAATGGACCTTGCGCATTATTAATGCAAATACGTACTACGTCTGGAAGATTTTGATTTAGGACTTCTTTAGAGAGAGGTTCTTGGGCTCTAGTCTCAATCAGTGGCTTTGGTAACTTTTTCGGATATGTGATAGGTGTTCCTCAAGAAGAGGTTTTAGAGCCGTAATCTTATTCATTGGCTTTAGCTATTTTTTTCGGATATGTGACAGGAGTTCCTAAATGAGATGTTCATGGGCCCTCATCATAGTCAGAGGTTTTGGTTACTTTTTCCGATATGATAGGTGTGCCTCAAGGAGATGTTCTTTGGTCCTATTCATACTCCGAGGCTTTGGTTAATTTTTTGGGTTATGTAATAGGTGTTCCTCAAGGTGAGGTTTTAGAGCCGTAATCATAGTCAGTGGTTTTACATATTTTTTTCGGATATGTGATTAATTAATGCTGTGTTGTAAATAAATTTAAACCCTTTTTCACCATGGAGAATTCTACACAATCCGCAGTATATGATAATTCATTTTTCTTTATAAGACGACCATGGTGGCACAACGGTTTGCACTGTGGGCACTGGATGAAGAGGTCCCGGGTTCAATTCCCGGTAGGACCGATTTCTGGATATTCCGCCGATCATTATTGATAATAGATTGTCTATCGATTTATACACCCCGCTGCTGCGCACGGGGTTTCTCTAAGGGTAGATTTTTTGTCATAATCCGCCACGATAGCTAAATGACTGTTGGGACTTAACACGTTTGCCGTGCAGGTTTCGTTACGATATGACCAGATATTGCCCCTGAACATTTGTAAATGTACTTAGAAATTAAAATAAATAGATACATGCAATAAATAGAATAAATAAATAACGCACACACGCATAGCCCCGCATTAGGGTAACACTGTGTCGCGGGTGGACGTCATATGCACAAGATACCTGACCCCCCAAGCCGACTTTGTCGACCTTTTGGTTCTGGGCACAAAAATGTGGAGAAAATTGTTAAACAAACTTAATCTTTAACCTGTGAGCCGTAAAATTTTATTTTGGTATAACTACCTGGTCGTCTCATTACTGAATGACATTTTAAGAAAGTTTTTAAGCGAATTTGATCTTTAACGTATGGTTCTTGCTTAAATACAGAACACTTCATTCTCTCTTCACAGAATTTCAACCAGCTTGAGTAACGCCGTCGTGGCCAAACGGTATAAGGATTGCTTTGCAAATTGAGGCAAGCATTGTTCGAGTTAACACGGTTCGAGTCACTTTAAAAATAAAATATTGTTTTGACTATGACTATATAATATTCAATTATTTTTTGTGAAATTACTCCACTAGTTTGTTATAATTATTAATACAAAGATCGAACACTCAGAAAAAACACTCAGAAAAAATTCCTTCGATTCGGTCGGATTCGAACCGACGTCTTCATGCATACCGTGCCAGACGCTATACCAACTAAGCCACGGAACGAACCAACGGCCCTCACGAATTCTTCTATGTGCTTGCGTCGTGTCTTTGTACTTGGTCTTTCAACGACTTTTTAGTCGTAGCGCCATCTATGAGAAATCTATTACAGATTTATCACCCAGTTAGTACCTTTACAGCTTCCAGTTCTGGCGAGAGATGTCGCTATTCACTGTATTAATTAAATTTTTATTGAATTGATATTCAATTATTTTTTGTGAAATTACTCCACTAGTTTGTTATAATTATTAATACAAAGATCGCTCTCTCACTCAGAAAAAACACTCAGAAAAAATTCCTTCTATCCGGTCGGATTAATATTGTTTTTTGTTTTTAACGTCTGGATAGGTGCAAGGAATGTCTAAGTCTTGTTCATACAGAACAATAATTTATAATTTTAATAATTCCGTTACGTGCGGCATATTAAAACAAGAAAGAAAACTTTGAAAGTCACTAAAACTTGAAAGTAATTAAAACTGGAACAATGCGTAATCACAGAAGTCGTATGCAAACGGCAGAGCGATTTCGTGTTTTGTTAATGTATCCATACCCACCCTACGCTTATTAATAATATCTACGCACCCACCTTAGGCAATTTCTGGTGAACAAATATTGTGATTTGTCAACGTTAACATTAAAAAGAGAAACAATGCTAAAACAAAACAGTGCTCGTGGAATCGAACCACGGGTATTGTAACAGGCAGTCGATACAACAAGCCGCTCGTCAAATTTACTTGAAAGTTAAATTACGAAATTTAGTATTGGTTTTAAAGATATGTTGATTATCTTCAAGCAACACTCCATTGTATTACTTACACTAGAAAGTTGAAATTGTATTAATTTTTTCTTTGTTCAATACGTAAGATGGCTCTCAGAACAAAAGGTCGGTTTGGGCATGTTAGGTGGTCAGGTATCTCATGTATATGACTGTACACATAAAACACCACAAATTACACCCAAACTCACGAGAGAAACAAATGTAGGCCATACAGATGTTTGTCCTGGCCCGGGAATCGAAACCGGGACCTCTGCGTGGCAGACCAGCATTAATCGTTCCGCTTTAGCTCTCCCACTACGCGTTAACCGCTCTTTAGATATAATTTTATTATATTAACAATTAAACGACGTATTGTATTTAGTGTACACATACAAACTGACATGAGTCCTGTAGGAAATCCTTCTTCAATTCTTGATCCTCCATTGCTTCCGAAAAATACACTTATTAATGCTAAACTATAAATCAGCATTGTTAGTTAAAAAAATAAGCAATCTTTTTACATTAAAACTCTTTACACGAACTAAATTACAAGAAATCTATTTTCAAATTTTTCGTAACTTCCGCTTTCGTTTGACATTTTAATTGGCGCGTAATTTATTTTGTATCGAGGCAATGACTGTTCGTCCAAACAGCCTCCTGACGACTGTAATGTTTATAAAGTATGTTTGTACAGTATAATGTGAGTGACAGTCAAAACCTTGAAGTTATGGAGTCCGGCACTCTACGACATACATTGGACTTAATACTGTATATATTTGCAACCACTTTCGTTTAGCAATTTTTACGCTTGATATGGCCCCGATTAGACGTTTAAATACTTTTAAGCTGACCTAAGACCTAGGTAGAGGTTAGTTCTATAAAATGTTGACAGACCTCTTCCTCAAATTTTGAGAGACCGAATTTGCTTTGAAAATTTGAGAATCTAAAACTAATGACAATCGGACGTAGGATCACAGGACAGAAAGGATCCAATGCATATCGAGTCACTTTTGAGACATGACAGTTTGAAGTTTAAAAATGTTTCTCACTCTTCATACATATTTATGTTTATATGTTGGATTTTTTTGCTGATCTAAGAGGTTAGACTTTAGGAACCATTTGGTACATATAACTAATTTTTTTAATAATTTTGTGGATTGGATCCGTTTTGCTCAAGTACGTCCAATGTAAAATTTTAAATTGTATAATCTGACAGTGGTTATTAATACTATATCAGTTTAATGTAGATATATTTATTGTGTCAGGTTTTTATTTTAACAGTGATGAGTCATGGTTATTTTAACTCATCTACCGACCGAAGGAGCACTAACTCCTATAAAATTAATTTCTTCTGTTTTTTATAATACTAAGTGACGGGACGAACAAAGCGCGCGCCTGATGGTAAGCGACACGCCTGTCCATAACAGTTGCAGTGCCACTCAGAGCTTTAAATCACAAATATTTGAGGGGCACTACCACTGCGCCCGACACCCTGAGACATAAGTTGACAAGTACCATGTGCCTGTAATTTCACCAGCAACCTTACCCTAAGAAACTGGACGCAGTAATTCTCACATTGTTGTACTTTCCAGGACGAACTTCTTCACAAGCTCTTTCTACAACTAGTATCTATAACAAGATCGAATTTGTATTGTAATTAGATAAGTGTTAGTGTGTTGTAATCCTTATTAAGCAATAATAATAATTATTATCTCTATTAGTGCCATGGAAACCTAATGGTTTGACCTACCGCCTCTCAAGCAGAGGTCGTCGGTCAGAATCCGGGCGCGCGTCTCTGGGTTTTTCGGAATTTATGTACGAAATTTACCATGAGTTTTTCGGTGTAACAAAACATAATAAACATAAACATGCACGCACGCACACACGTACAAACTTAAAAAATTTTGCTGCTAGAATCTGAAACCGCCAAAAGACGACCAGGCAGACCCCAGACCACTTGGATTAGAACCTTTCAAAAAGACATGAAGACGATGGGTGTAGAGTTGTAGATCCTGGGCTTACACAAAAGCGCCTGGAGTGGAGCCGCTACGGACGCACGCACTAGGAGGGCGGAACCCAAAAGAAATGGGACATAAGGTCAGGACAAAGAAGAAGAGGCTGCAAATAGGGCGCGCGCGTGTCACAACACTGGCTTAGTATTGCGCTTTTATTATATGAAAATTACTAGCGACGCGGCTGCAGCCCACAACGGTACCACTGCAGCGTTTCTATAAGCGTCAAATTTGAACGCGCCATTAGTCGCGGTCGTCCTCTGACTTACTTTCCCTCGATCGTCCCTTCTGTAATGCTTCTTACAAAACTATCGTCTTTCCCATTCGGTTCTCTAATGTCTTTAATTGAAATCAAATGTAATATTTTTAGGTGGTTTTCTTTGTAACTAAACACTAGTTCTTCAGCAGTACTCAATACTCCTGAACTTTTATATGTATACATATCTAGTTTGTTATTGTAGTTAGTGGAGTTCCCCAGGGTTCAGTGTTAGGGCCTTTCACTTTTAATATATATATATATATATCCTAAATAAATATAATATATATTTATGTTATATGATATTGGATGCACCTAATTTTGGGCATTGGAGAATAAGTTTTACCTTAAGTTACCTTAACCTCTTTAATGTACTGTAATGTAACGATGTACAGATGAAGTAACGGTTTTTTAAAAAAGCGTTTTTTAAAGCAAATTGTCGGTCTTTTTATACGTGCAGCCTGTCACTTACACGCGGCGGATGTATTGAGCACTGCGCATCTAGTAGAACAATGCATTCTGGAAGCTGTTCCGACTTCCACCTTTTTGTAGCGTGTCAATCATGTTTGCTGAGAAACATGTGGACGATTTCTACGCTATCATGCGAATACGTAGTCCATCGCTACTTCGTCGCATGAATCTCAGTACGAACGGCATCCTGAGCATATTGGTGGAAAGATGGGAGTCCCCAATGCTGGGGCGGTGGATGCGCTAGCACACTGCTGCCAATGCGTAGCCAGTTGTCCTGGCATTGGCTGAGTACGTCACGCTCCCATCTAGGAGTGCTCGATATACATTGATATTCAAAAAGATATCGATATATGCCCTCGATATATCAAATCAATCCGATATAAAGGCCGGCGCAGAGTGACGTCGCGGCATGGCACGGCACGGCAAAGGATTTTATTTTTGATCAAGTTATTTTTATCCTTATTTCATCGAGGTTAGAATTCATATTACTTTATTTCGATACAATTATACCGCGGCACGTCGTGGTATGCCGCGGCATGCCGCAGGACGCCGCGGTATGCCGCGGCACATCGTGGCATGCCGTTTCATTCCACAGACGTCCCGCAAGTCTCGTCGGTCACAGAATTATGACAATTAAACTAATTGAAATAAGGTTTGAAACTAGTGCGGCGGCAATTTCGGCGAATGGCGCGCAGCGAATGTGCCGCGGCATGCTGCAAGGCGCTTCGGCATGCCGCGACGCGCTTCGACATGCCGCGGCATGCCGTGCCGTGCCGCGACGTCAGTCTGCGCCGGCCTTTATTGTATCATTCGGTATCGATATGTACTATTGATATATTTTATCTGATACATGAAAAATCATACAAAGTTGAAAGTATACTTTTCAATAATTGTACTTGCATAAACGAAACGCAATTCGAGCGCTGATTCGCTGGTCATCCGTCAGTGTAATGTAGTGGTTATGTTCTCATTGACTAGGCGCACACACACAATAATATTACTTGTGTGCGATATTCCTGTGTTAAGCTTTCTACACACCGAGCCCGCCGAGCCGGCAACACAGCCTTTGTTTCTAGAACATGTCATAGGATTAGATTACAAATAAGGCCGCTGACACCAACCGTGTCGCCGGCTCGGCGGGCTCGGTGTATAGAAAGCTTTAGGATTCGGTAATTGAAGAAATACATTTGATCATTGTGTCAAAACTGGTGGTTTTACTATTTACTTTAAGTAAAATTTCCTTCCTTTTATTTTTTAGAATTATTCACGATTTATCGAAAATATCGATGTTTTGTACTGATATATCGCAAAACATCGATACAACATTTCGGTATATCACATCGGAAAAAATATCGATTTTTTTACACTAACACCACTACTCCCATCTTAATAACTATATAAGTACGTATAATTTTGTTTTGTTATTGTTATTTTAAACCTGGCATAGCTTAAGTTCTTTTTTACTAACAAATTTTGAGGATGAATGTGTCTGATATAACTGGATTTATTATTATTATTTAATTGCTTAACTGTGTCATCCATCATCATCTTTTGTTACCTCTCAACCATCGATGTCATGGGGCGTCACACGTTATCATAATTCTAATGCCTTGTTTCAGTCCCTTTTTACGTTCACCTTTATGACAATAATAAATAGTATGTATTTACATATTTTAAAATAGCGTCAGTGGCGTAAGTGGTTACGTAAACAATAAAAATAATAGCTACTAATATCGATTGTTAAATTTTTATTAAACATGACTTCCGTTCAAAAATTTTAACATTAATGATCTCTGTTTCTAATTTTAGTTACGACAATAGATTTAAATATTTAAACTTTTATACCCTCTACAAGGTTATAAGAATATACAAATTCAATTCTATGCCCAATGCGATAAGAGCGGTTCAAAGTGTCGTAACTGACTGTATAATTCGCTGAATAAAAATGGAAGTAAATTAATTTGCTACTCCGTGAACCTAGTGATGGTTAAACTAGTTGTGTTGAGTACAGTTCATACAGTACACTCATACAGTTAATTTTCCCACCCTCCATCCGCATAAAATTAATAAAATAAATAACACTAGCTCAAGTACAGTCACAAACATCACGAGGAAAATGGTAGATGAAAGAAAAACAGTTGAACTATATCAAAATAATTTAATTAACAGAATTAGTTATCGTTGTCAATTTACTGTCAACTATAATAAGATTAAAACACATCAACGGATTTAATCACTTAAATAATGTACGACAAATCGCGTTGTTGAACGTGTCATTGTTTTTTTTTTCATCTAATGAAAAAGTTAGGTGCACCACAGTCCATCGTAAAGTTCGAAATTTCAAAAACCAAGACAGAGAAAGAAAGGCTTTCTGAGCTAGTGAGGTGTATCTTTCTGAGTGTATAGAAATAACCTATTGGAATAGAAAGAAAACTGCATGGAACACGTCTGACGTAACTAATGCAACAAACAAATAATTTAATTTTTATTAGACGTTCTCACATCATCAAGCAGAGACACACCATACTGACAGTCTTCACACCCCCCATCACACTTTCCTTCTTTACACCCTTCTCCCTTACGCGGATACATTAAAGGATTTTTCGGCTTGAAGCATGTTGTATGAACTTTCTTCGGGATGCATTGAATTATTTGTGTTTCTACAGATGATGCGAAGTGCAGGGTTAAAATTGTAGTGATGACAAGTACCTGGAAGCGAGAAAATACAAATGTTGTTAATAGACACTACGT